TTCAAAATATATTGCAATAAACAAATAACTAAAAGTTATAAAAATTTTAAAAATTTTAAAAATATTTTTTGTACCATTAATTGTAATAAAATAAAGTTGTCTTAAATAAAATTCTTATATTTTTTTTTTAAATTCTTATAAGCAACAAAATTACAGAAATTAGTTTTAGAAGTTTAATTCTGTTGAGTTAGCATTTATTACGATTAGTAGATTAAAACTGGCTGGTTTTATTGTGAAGATGTCGGAAACCACACCACAGCGCAACATTTTTACCAGCTACGTACTAAGAAACAGTAGTAGAGGACATTTACAAAGAGTATGGATGCTTGGAGTAAACAATAATCTTCTGAGAATAGGCAGCAATTATATTGAAAATAAATGCAAAAATCAGCAAGATTGTTAGGAGATCATGTGATAGGCTTAGATCCATTGATAAATATTACACCACGACTGAAAAAAATGATGAACAAATATTAAATAAATCTATTCAGCGTATTATGCACTATGGTTTTTCTTAACTGAATTGTGTAGTTTTTATGCAAAATGTGACTTAAACATACCATAAGTGCTGAGTTACTGTTAAAATGTGTAAAAAACGGAAAAATTCATTAAATGGAATTTCTACCAAATTTTTTTCACAGAATTCGCAAAAGATTTCTGCTATGATATTACAGTGAGGAACTAGAGCAACTGCTCGAGTCTACAGATTTAACTTTTTCGCTCCAGTGTTATTGCTGAATTTCTCTGTTTATACTGTTTTGCTGTGATTTGGAGCCTTTTAGTTTCTTCTGGTCACTGGTATATAGGAGCCCACCTAGAGAAAGTGCGCCTTCCGTTCAACATTAATTGTAGAAGTTGTGGCAACTTGGCCGAGGAAGAGATAAAAACCCTATTTTAGCAATTTTTTAGTTTTGGTTTTGAATAGATTTTTAGTAAAACACTTTCCTACTTTTGGATTTGGTTTACCTATAGAGAAATCCTGAATGAAATATAAAACGATAAATAATTGCTTATTATGAAAGGTAGAATAGTTACTCCCAATGGGTCACTGCAACCAACCTACCATGGCACTCATTGAACTTCCTCACCATGACAAAGCAGCTTTTTCCGAAGGGAATATTTTACAAATTTTTTATTCATAATAATAATACCAAAAACTATTATAATAGTGAGTGTTAGGTTGTATAAACTTCTTGGTAAAAAATTAGTAGTTTGTACAAACTTCGTATTGCGAATAGATTTTTAATTCCATATCTCTCTCTCTTTCTCTCTCGTTTTTTTCAGTATTTGATATTAAGTTTATTTTGTTATATTAAAGTCTTATATATCTTGATGACGTGAATTTGATTTGACCATATAGATATAATTTGACAAACACGACAAAATTAAATTAAAAATTATAGATACTTTTAAATATTTATACGTGTATTTTAAGAACAATCACTTTTATGTTGATTGATGCGAGTTTAGTAAGTAAAAAAAATTAAAAATATTATGTCATTTTTTATTAAAAGTTGTTTATTTAATTAAAATTTGCTGATCATTAGCAATTAACTTGAAGCTATGATATAATGGCCTAAGAAAATCAAGCAAAATTTTATTTATTTTTTTATTATTTTTTTAATATTATTTTATATTACTCTCTTAAGTTCATAATTTTAAAATTATATGAATATATCCGAAAACAATTTTAAGTTTTATACCAAACAATAGCAATAGAAATATTGTTCTATAAAATATGGATCCATTACATCAAAGATGCATTCTTACTATTGAAAGAAACCTTAAATTACTTAACAGTCATCAATGATTCCGGGTTTTTTATTTGTATTTGAGAATAAAAATTGCGATTAAAGTTATTTATGTTCAAATCAATGGATTATTTTAAGACTGAACAAAATTTGGTTGTAAACGGATCAGCGGGTTAGTTACCCGATTCTACTTCATTTTGCTACATGACACATAAGAATGTTTAAGCGATTCTTTTGCTCTGTGGTTCTAGTCTCATGTTCCTGTGTGTGATATTTTCACCTCAGAAGTATTCACGGAAAAATGAATCCAACAACAGTAATTTCAAACCCCCAATAGAGCGTGTCCAGGGCCTAAAATGTTTAATCTTAAATTAAATTTTTGTGATAATTCTTTACTTTCTGTCGACAAGGGTAAAAGGTATAGGTAAATTAAAAAGATCTTTCCATCTTTTCTCCTGCTTTCTTTGACTTGAACTGATTACTTTATTTCTAGCCTTTTTTATCCTCATTTTTCTTTCTATTTTTCTCTCTCTCTCTCCATCTTTACGTTTCCTTTATTTTGCTCCATTTTTTCCTACAATGGTTAGAGATTGGTTCGACAAGAGGCACAGCATAATTTATTTATAATCCCATAAAATTGAAAGAGTCAAATTCATATATCTGTTAATATGTTCAGATGAAAAAAATGTTACAAAATTACTACAATTGTATGCTAATTACTTTTAGAATTTGCATAGAGAAACTACAATACTATCACGGATATTTCATGTTCCAAACCGAAAAAAAAAATAGTGTAAAAGTATTTCAGTTTACGAATATATTTTTTGCCAATTAACCTTTCAGGTTGTGGCTAGCTATACTTTTTTTATATGCGCAAAATAACTAAAATGCTCGAACTATTATAGTAGAGGCAAATAAAAGATACGAAACTGAACACGAAATCAGTTGAGAGTTCTGATGATATTTTCATCATTGAAATCAGTTTTAAACGTGATTTAGTCATTGGCGGTTGATTTTATTAGCGCGAGATAATGTCATTTAGTGGTAAAATTAATATTTTAGCATTTGAGAGAACAAGTGAAAAATAATATAAAATCTGAAAATAATACAATTTTAAATAATAAATAAATTTAAATTTATATATAGATTTATGTAAATTTATTTGCTAAGTTAGAGAAGCTTACGTAGTAGTATTGTTTTGTTAATAGAAGATTACTTCAATCTTGATAATAATAAATTTAATTTAAATGTTACATTAGAAATTATAGTTTCAATGAATTTTTTATAGTTAATAATAATAAAGTAACGTAAGCTTCTCATTTGCGTACGTCATCACTTTTATGTATAAAAGTGGGATTATGTTTAAAAAAAAATTGTGAATGTATGAAAATGCCAATGTATATATACAAATAAATAAAATATAAAATTTGAATAAAAATTTTTTATTTTATATTCATATGTTATTATAATAATACAATACATAATATTCTACAATAATTTCATTAAGTGGAATTAAAAGCAAATATAAACAACAGATTAATACAGTTTATTTAATCTATTTTACCTATGACGCAATACCAAGGGAATGGACTAACGGTATCTTCGTTATTTGTTTCAGATATTTCTATAATTTACTAATTTTTATATGTGGAAAATTAAATTTTTGCCCCTTTTGAATCAAGTGGAAAGATTAATTGCTCAGTAGCAGTATTTCGTATAAGTTTTATTGTTGAATTCTTAACGATCACTTAAATTGCTGGCTATGTTAAAATCAAACTTTAATCATATAGTTTATATATAATCATCGCCAACATATATAGTCATTACATACATGCATACATATATATACTAAATTAAGAACTGAAATAGACACAGGTATGTCTAGATCCTCTTATTAAGTTGAGAATGTGTTTGTTTTTATGATCGCTGATATATTTTTATAACTACATTATAAACGGTATGGTTATAAAATTAGGAATTAAAATAGTTGAATTAAAACTATGTGAAAGGTGAAATATAACTTTCACCTACTTTTTGTCAAAATTAGGAATAATAATAGACAAAATATCTATATATCGCCGCGATGAGTTAAAAATATTTATATTTTTATAATATCAAATATGTTTCATGATTCTGATATCTTGTTTCTTTTGAGTCTTTCTATACATAATTTATAAATATTATTTTTTGTTATATTTGCGTTCTTTTTCTCTTAAAAATTAACTGATTAACTTAGTTTTTCTTTGCAATATATTTCAGTTCAATGCTTCGGTATACTTTATATTGTGTATGTGTGTTATATGGTCTTTGACTTATCCTTCAGTTTGATACAAACGTCTGTCTTTTTTCCCAATAATTAAATACTTCATTAAGAGTTTCATTGCAATTTTGAGTTGAGGGTTTATGCCAATTAGGTCTGACCCGATATTTTTAAATATGTGATGACGGTGGGTTTCACTTTCACAATATGATTATTTAATATGTCGGGTGTTAGTTTATTAAGCCCTGTTATATCCAGATTTTTTTCACCTATGTTCTTTTAAGTTGGGATTCTAAAATGGTAGCTTAATTGATATTAATTCAATTTTGTTGCATACTTTTATGCGCAGTGGAAAGAAACTTAAGTTTATGTATAGATTCTGTTCATATTCGCAACATATTTTATAATGAGGTTTTTTAATATTTTCTCGTCAATCGTTTGTTAATATTAAAAAAAAACCCTTTTGTATATAAAACCTATTTAATGGGTGATCGTGTAAAATATTTTGAGTTGTCTATGTTTTAATGGGAAGGTTTGCAGGTGATCGGTGCAAAATGAGTTTTATGCTGTTTAAATACATTCACACATATGTACTATATGTATGTATATATGTACATTTTCTATTATGTATATACGTATATATATAGTTATATGCAGTTTAGAAAGAACTACACAAAACTAGTGATTAAAAGGTTTACTGTCTTTATATAGGTTATTATCAGAATAAATCTTGTAAGACTCTTACATGATTGTAGCTGCATATATTATATTATATATAATATATTGTATTTAAAATATTTTTTCTTTATCAAATTAATAATATATTTTAATGAAAAATATGTATGTATGTACTTAACTTGCACTTTTAAAATAGTTTTATTTTGTTTGAATTTTAATGGAATGTACTTTTTTATTGATATTTTTTTAAATGCTAGTTATTATTTTGATATTGATAAAAATCAATAACTAACTTTAAATTTATGTTACAGCTTCTCTTAAAAGTTTCGGTGATAAAACCGCTAACCTTTTCAGCAAGAAAAAGGATGAAGCCGAGAAATTGGCTAAGGAAAAGGCCGACAATGCACAAAAGATGGCTGAAGATCAGGCCAAGAAAGTAGGACAAGCAGTGCAACAAACCAAAAGTGAAGCTGAAAATTTGGCTGCTAGTACAGGTAAAAAAAAATTTATAAATTAATAAGTAAAAATATTTGAAAAATATTAAATATGTTTGTCAAACGCTTCAAACGTTTACGCTTCAAAATAAAGTACTTCAATAAATTTTTCTTTCAAAATAATTTAATAGCCAAAGAAGCTGCTGAACTTGCTGCCGGTGAGGCTCAAAAAGCCGGTCAAGCCGTTGATCATGGCGTTAACACTGCTGCTGCCGCTGTAGACAATACTAAGAGACAAATTGATGCAACAGTCCAACATGCCAACACCGTGGCTCAGAATACCAAACAAGCTGCTGCAAATTTGGCTGATCAATCTCAAAAGGTAGGCGTTTGCAAAACTTACAAGTAAACCTTTTTTAAATCTCTTTGAAATAAACAGGCCGCTGCCAATGCTGTTGATCAAACTAAGAAAGCAGCCAATGATGCCATCAACCATAGCGTAAAGGCAGCTGAACAAGTTGTCGATCAAAAAATGAAAGAAGCTGAACACGCGGTTGACGGTGCCATGAAAGCCACCAGTCAAGCTGTCGATCAGAAAATGCATGAAGCCAATCAATATGTTGATCAGAAACGTGAGGGTTTGGAGAAGGTAAGTGCCAGCATTTATAGTATATGAAGTATACGAAGACCTCTTGTTATATACTCAAATTTTGAATTTTTCAATTTGACAGACCATCCATGATTCAGCAACTCACGCACAGGAATCTGCTGGTGCACAGGCTACCCAACTGCTTGGAAAACTTAATTTGGGCAAATAAATTTAATGCAATTATAATATATAAATTTAAATATTTGACAAGCCTGCAACAAAAGTTAGAAATTAAATTGTCCATTATTGAAAATTCAAAACAAAAAAAAAAAACAAAAATTGCGAAAAATATTGTGCTTAAAAAAAATTAATTGAAGGAATTGAGAGATTTGCTTTATAGAGAAGAGTCCTGACAAGTGCCAGTCTTGTGATTGTAAAAGTTTATAAAAATGTTAAAATTCTTATAATATGGGGGTGTGGCATATTTACACTACTTACCAGCTAAGATAAAAACGAACAATTATATTGAAATGAAACAAAGTCAAAGCATATTATACTATTTTTAAACAATATTTATATTAAAAAAGAGAAAAATTATTTTATTTTAATTTCATAAAATCAATTAAAAATTGCCTTGAAAGACATAAAAACCAGAACGTGTCCTTTTTATATTTTTATATGCAATATTACTTTTATATAAAAATCTTTTAAGCACTTGTTTAGAATATTTCAAACTCACTCCCCATCTTTTCTTAGCAATTTCTATTATTGACTATTAGATATATATATATAAAAAAAAAATTAAAAAAAAACTATTTCTACTTTTGTCAAATTGCGGCTTTATAAAACTTTTTTTTTTAATGTGAATTTGTAGTTTGTAATTTATTTTATATGATAATTTTTTAATATATTATATAAAAAAGAGAAATGATGCGAATATTTTATTATTATTATTACAAAACAAATAACAAGAGTCTTAAGCAAATCAATTTAATATTTTAGATGTAACTAATTGTTACGGCAAACAAAAAAAATGTAATTAAAACTTTAAAAATGTAATAAAAAATATAAAAAATAAATTTAAAAATGTAAAAAAATTAATTCTATTACTTTCTATATATATTTTCAATAAAATTAATAATTAATATTAATTTGAAAGAAAGTCTTATAATATAGAATAGATATATATATATATATATATATATATAATGCAGATCTGAGGTAAATTATTGCTTAGTCTGATGAAGTGATAAACAATAATCCAGTCAAGGCGCAAAGAGGGGTTTTGAAGAAACCTCGCAGTTAAGAGAAAGTAAAAGTGTTCAGGTGCACTGACTCAACTTGCCGCAACATAATAAAAAAAAAACAAAATTTAAAAATTAAACTAAAAAAGAATAAAAACATAGATTATTAAAAAAATAATTAAAAATAATTAAAAAGAAAATAAAATTTATTAGTTGAGCAGAAAACTGTTTCGGAAACTTTTCAAATATCTATTATTAGCTGATCTAACTATATATATATTTGTTGTGTTATTTATTGAGAGATACCCTACCTTTCTACCTATCAGCCCTATCTATTTTCTATAGATACCACTGAAGATGAACTAATACTGTCTTTATAAATACCACTGAAGATGTTGTCCAAACCCAACAAAACGTTAGACTAAAGGATAAAATAAATTATGACGTTTATTTGTATTTAAACTAAAATACAGAATAGTCTAAATAAGACTCATCGAAACAGCATTTGAAAAAAGTCAAAAATAATATAAATATTTTTGCTTAATTGTTCAGATATCAACATTTTAAAGCTTGAATATAAATAGCTAAAAATATAAGATTTTGTTATATGAACTCTAAGTCAGTATTCTGCCCGTTAGACGTATTTAGTTGTATGTATACCTTTATTCGAAAATGCATTCTGCCCACTTATGTAGTTTAATACTTTCCAAACTATGTAACTTCTGAAGAACTTTTACTTACTTCTGGAACCAGGAACTAATACAGCATAAATCTGTAAAATGACATAAATTTGCTTAATTACATAGAACTGTAAGAAGAAAATACATACTGATATATATATTAAAAATAATTAATATGAAATACTTTATTTTCTTGATTCTTTCTACTGCTACATTTATTAATTGCGTTTTAGAAAGAAAATTGTTAAAACCAAAATGTCCTTCTTGGGATAATGATACATATATTATAATATCATACAAGTAAAGAAGTTTCTGAAACCCTTTAATTGAATTCTTTTTAAAAAAGCATTCACCAAATAGTAACTTTAAGATAATCTTTCACATTTCCAGACGTACACTTAAAATGATAGAATGCTTTTAAAAGGTCTTCATGTTAAAAATCGTAAGGAAGTTTTACTAGGTCAAACTTATCAGGAAAATCTGGATATTTGTTATGTATACGATGGTCGCATTAACAGCTTCAATCAGCTTATAGTTTTATAACAACTAATTCTTTATTACTTATATTAAAATATAACTTCAGGTAATTAATCCAGAAACTGCAGCTGGAACATCATTCAAAATTGTGTACTTCCACATGTGATAATAGATTATCACCATTTCAAAAAACTTTCAACAAGTCATAAATCTGTATAAAATGTTCTGTAAGCAAAAAGTTCTTGTATACACCATCACTCGTTTGTGCATAAAACAGTTTAATATAATTATTCGGGTTATTGATTTTTCGAAGTGCCCTTAAATATATTTTCTTAGAAATATCGACCATCAAACACGATTATCGGTTACTTGGATGTCTGAAAGGAACATGGTCTCCAATAATCTTATCTCATTAAACTCATAATTCTTTAAAATGCACAACAACCCTGTAGGAAATGTTGAGAATAATTTTTATTCCGAACTATATTCTTCGGGGGGCTCTAATGAGAGTTCATAGGGATTATAATATTCACCCTTATATTTCACAATGAGTCCTTTATTAAGGCAACTTTGTATTGCGTTATAAACCGCTCGCTTGACTTCACGAAAGCTCCGATTGTACTTCTTAGAGACATATTTCGTAATAGTGTAGAGAGATCCGACATCTTCCATCTCATCTATATATCTCAACATTTCCTCATCGGATATGTGCATTTTGATGAGATTGTCTTTCTATTAGCAGCAAAAATAGAAAATTTTTAAATTTCGTTTTATGTCGACATATTGTTTAAAAAAAATTGATTTTTTTTTGTAAAAATATTTTTTAAATTTTAAAAAGTCACTAGTTTCGTCGCCTATTAAACAATACGTAAAAAATTGTGATAATTATAGGAAGTGTGGAATGAGAAGGATAAAGAACGATTACATGTTATCCTCATATATAAGTTGCTAAAATTATGCTAAATTAATGTAACTTGAGTATAATTTCATATCACATATAATAGGGAGTAAACTAGATAAAGTTGGCCTCATAGTACGTTACATCGAAATGGTCCGTACTGATGCGAACATAACACTTACATTGGTGACAAACATTGTTGTTCAAATTGGCAGGAGCGAGTTCTACTAACAGTTGTTATAGAAATGTGTCCACTTGCTAACTCAGCTAGTTCAGCGAAGAAGCGGTATTCTAGACTTTGAGGTTTTGACTCTGGCATTTTATATCAAGAAACCATGATGTACGAAAAAGATAATAGTAGACATTTTTTGAATTTATCTAATGCTATAGTATTGAGTACTTTGTTATTAATGGCTGTCGTTGACGGCATCTTATCAGCAACTCGAACATTTTGTTCTTATATATAATAAAAGTTTCACTCTTGTGATAAATATGATCAAAGTATTGCTGTAGAATTTGAAATCTATATAGCTATTAATACATAGTAAAATCAATATGTCTGAATGTTTGATTCATATTATACTAAATAAAACATGAAAATACCGATAAGGTAGCTAAGATGTTAATGTATAATATGACATTGTATAGTGATGTCTATGTAAATTATGCCGTCAACTTATTCACATAAATATTAAGTCAAGAGCATATAATGACTTATGGGATAAGTAAATCGAAAAACGCCCACCTAATTTGGATTATGGGTCACACCAATATTGTCAAAAATTGTGTATCTGATGTTCTGCACAGTTATGGTACTACTTATTCGGATAACAATAATACTATAACAGAGATATAACAGTAAAATAACTGCAGAGATGAAGTAAAATGGGAGTGATGAACAAATCACCCCATATCAAGACAACTTTTGCAAGAAGTGGTGTATTAATGTGTATTTACGGGACTAGATTGGATGCTAGTTGATTGAATCCAGACGAGATTTCTATAGATACTGAAGTATTTTAATTTATTTTTTAATTGCTCAAAAATAATTATTTATTTTTTATTAATTATTAAAAGAGCATTCCGACAATTTTTTACAACAGCAGGAAGTAATAATTATAATATTGATTTATGGGATTTAATAGTTGATATTGTTGATATAAAAGCTTCTCATAATGTTAAAATAAAATTGCCATTTATTAAAAAAATAAAGAAATGTAGTAAAAGAATCAGATGAATCTTTGATTCTATTTCAGAATTTATTGTGTGGTTGGATAAATAATATTTTTAAACAAAATGTTCGAATTATTCACTTTTTTATAGTTTAAGGTGTAATGAAACGGTAGCTACATTCTTTAATAATGTTTTCTTAAAGCAATCCAGTCGTTTACCTCAGAGTCTAAGCTATAGTATAAGGCAAGTGAAGGTTTTGTTTGCCACAACACATGCAAAGGTGCAAATGGTCAGCAGCATTAGACTGTTCGTTCAATAATGGGTTCCTATTATAACGTTTTAAGATTAATTTAATCGGTTTTCTTGGCGTTGGATTTTCGACTTTAATTGAACGGTTATCAGTTTTCTTAGATATAGACTCGTCCGGCTCCTTTACACTCACTGTCTCTGTTTTTAATGACACTGATTTTGATTTGTGTGTTGAGACAGGTTTTTGTACTTTGGCTGATGTTTTTGATCTCTTACCTTTAACCTCTGTGTTAACCTTTGCACTGGTCTTGGCTGTCAGATCACTGGGCATATATGGAGTGAAATACGAATTTTTGTGCTTGAAAATTATGCCACATTTCACACACCTTTCCAAAGCTGCAAAAAGTTCTGTGATCACTTCGAACTGTACCATCTTATATTTCCGGCAGTAATGCTTAGAAATAGTATCCAGAGTACTCGGAACCTTCAGCTGTTCCAGACAAGATAAAATCTTAGCATTCGAAATTGACATTTTGTATTGTTTAATATTGTTTTTAATATTTAATATGCAAAATGTTGACTTTAAAATTTTGAATAGTCTTTCGAACCATAATTTTGAAGATTTGGAATAAATTAAAATTTTATCAAATTTTATTTAGAAACTCTTAATTTAAATATCGCCTACTATTGTAACCAAAACAATATGTCACATTTATAAAACAATTATTTTTATAACATTAGTAGGCTATATGACACTCAAAATTCTTCTTTCAAATCTAAATTATAATTTAGTCATATAGAATTTTTCAGTTCTAGTGCAAACACACATTTGGAAAATAATTCAAAATTAATATTCCTATTTTTCGGCATCAAATTTGAAATTCTATTTAACAAAATGTATGTCTCAGATGAGAACATACTAGAGTATCTTACTCAACTTGAAATGCCTAGTAGTCTGAATACAATTACTGAATATGTCTCCCAGTTGTATAAGTTGCCGGAGAAGAATTTAACTTCAGACCTGTTAGTAGCTCTAGAGAGTTGTGTAGATCGAGGCGTAGTTCTCAAACACAACAACGCATATTTTCGTCCAGTCGTCAATATTAAATCGTTTTTGTA